ATGCACTCAAAGTAAGAGAGAACCAAAACCAATCTGTGGAAAGTGTAAGACCCATTTTGAGAGCTTCTGGCCCCACAGCTGATGATGTCAGTAAAAGCAGGGGCAGTCCAAAGCTCCCACCCTGTCCTCCCTGGCACTGTGGGTCCCTCCAAGTGCAGAGCTGGAAGCAGCACACCTGTGTTGGCACAGTGCTCTGCAGCCTGACATGCTCTGCTCCACTGTGGCACTAATTAGTGCAGGCAGAGCAGCTCGTCAGGGCCATTACCTACTCCTGGGGTGGCCCTGCACCTGTCCCCCAGCTCTGGAACTGACCAAGCTGGCTCCTACCCTGACCACACCCTGCATCTCTGCACCCTGAAGTGCAGACCCCAAAATACTGATGTATAACACAGCTCCCTGTGCCACCCGGGCAGCGGAGGGCTCACAGGAGGAAGGTGACTTCCTCTCCTGAGAAGGATGCTGCTCAGCACCCCAAGGTGGGTGATCAGTTCTCCCCTCCATGCCCTGCAGTTTCCCCTCTGGAGCACTCCCTGCCCCAGTCAGAGCCTGCAGGGATGGGAGGTGGCCCTGCCAGGGGCAGTACAGGTTGGAGAGCTCAGGAGGCTTCAGTTCTCCATTTGTCACAATCCTCTGGCAACAGTGACAGCCTGGGGAAGCTGCAAAGGCTTCTGAGAAGCTGCTGTTAATTATCCTACATGCACACTCCAGCCTTTTCTAGTGTGTGCCGCTGGAGAGAAGAGCTCATTTAGACTGGGGAGAGGGGGAGAACAAAGCCATTAAAAGAAGAGCTGTAAGCCCAGCAAAGAGATAACAAATGACAGAGCAGCAGAATGCTAATGCCATGCCCTTGTCTCCTCGTGAATGGACCTGTGCAGCTCATCTGAGCAGTCCTGCTCCAGTGAGCAGATCTCTCCCAAAGGATTGTCCTCTGCAGCTATGAAAAATGAACGAGATAGAAAAGGAATTTTTAAAATCCCCTGCAAGGACTACACTTGTTTGGTCAACAGCCATGCCTGACATCCCAGTGCTTTCCCAAGAGCTGAGAGGTGCTTCTTCCTTCCAAGGGGATGCAGAGTGGGAGTGAGTGCCAGCCCAGGGAGCCGGCAGGAGACGGGAGCTGTGAGCCAGAGCAAGCTTTGTCCAGTATCACAAATATACCACAGTATCACAGTAATACCTTTAAAGGGTTTTTCATCTGTTCATTTGTGACCCTAAAACTTGTTTGACTTTACATCTGCAAAGGGTTTTTCCTTTTCAAATTGATACATCTTGTTAGAAAAAGTAAGAAAGTGTGTAGACAACTCTGCAAACATAACTGAATTATTAACCATTAATCCAATGTTTTCTAAAGCCCATTTCTACCACTAAACAAAAAGTATGTATTTAGTTATGTGTGTCCATGCATCACATGCACATACATTGCACAATATTAGTGCTGTTCCAGTAGCTTAGATATTAATTGTAACATATCATTATCTCTCCAGTAATCTTCAGGCAGCTCTCCAAAGAGCTCTGCTGAAACCTCCTGAAATAACAGCTAAAACCAGTGGTGAAAAACTCCCCAGCAATGCCTTGTTCCTGCCCCCCAGCTGTAGCTGGGATGGGAGAAGGGGGCAGACAGTGTGAGCAACAGAGAGAAAAATGCTATTTTTTATTTTGTTGTTTTTAGGCAACAGCAGCTTTATGAATATAACTTTGCCAAAAACGCCAAGAGAAACACATGACACCTTTTGCATGTTCCTGCTGCCAGGTGAGTGATTTGGTGATGGTGGGACTACAGCACAGCTCTTGCATGGAGGTACCTGGCAATAAACCTGGGCTGGGTGCCTGAAGCCCATACCAGCACCCCACACCATTAATGCCCTAGAGACACTTCCCAGGCAGCCAAGAAGAAGGGGAAAAGCTCATTAGTGCTGCTGGGTTATTTTGGAACCTTATTTTCAGTTCAGCATACTGCAAAGTGCACCCTGCTGCCAGAGGGACCTCTGGGCTCTGGGGCAGGAGCACAGACTGCTCCAGCCACAGCAGCTCAGCACTGAGCAGCACCTGCATCCACAGCCCACCTCATCCTCCCACTCCTCTGCCCAGCTTTTCTCTTTTCCACTGTCTCCCCAGATAATCCCAGTCAAGAAACTGGTGGAGACATTCATTTTATCTACTCCAGTAAGGCAGCTCTCTGATTCTAAAAATACTCCAGGAAATTGAATCAACATTTTTGTAATTGGCTGGTAGCAGCAATTACTAATAATCAACAGGAACATAATTTTCTTCATTTTCTACTCTTGCTGTAATGTAATCTCAGCAGCAAACTTTGCTTTGCACACTAAACAAACACAATGGCCAATATTAAAAAAAATGGGGAGATAAAGCAGAGTTTCAAAAAACTTAAAAATAAACTTCTATCAAATAGCAAAAAACTGTGATTCAAACAGCCTTTGGGAAAGATCAAGTTAATATTGTTGCCCTGAAAAACGGAAAAAGGAAAGCTCCACTCTACTCCTCTTACCCAGGGGCAGGATCAGGACTGCAGCCCCCGTGCCAGAGGCAGCATTCCCCTGGGCAGGCTCCCCCAGAGCTGCCCATTCCCTGTGAGGGTACCCAAGGCACAGCCAGGGGGACAGCACACATGACCTGGACTTGAAGGACTGTACTGGATGCAAGGCTGCATCAAGCAAACTACCCAGTTCATAGTGAAAAAAACACTTTTGCAGAAGGAAGCCTGGCTCTGAATAGGTCTTCTGAAGACTAAGACAGCTCTTGCAGACTAAAAATAAGGAATATTTTCCTTGCCCAGCTAGATAAATTTGCTGTAGATGTCTGTGCTTTCTAAATCAAGAAACAAGTGCCAATTCATGCAAGGCTTTGACTTGGAAGCGTGACCAACTCGTTGCTTTTCCTTCCAGCCAAGAAGAGCAGATGCTCTGCTGCTCTCTGCACGTATCAGCCCCTAACAGGTATTGATGACTGTATCAAGCCAGCTTGGCTAAAGACAAACCTGCTGTTTGTGGGATTGTGGGAGCTCCTGTCACGCTTGGGAGATGCTCACCAAGACTCCTTGCCAGCAGTGCTGCTGCATGGCATTTACAAATGGCACATTTTCTCTATGTCCACTTTAGAGAAGACATCCCTTACTGAGGCTTGGAGAAGCTGCAAATTCCCTACAATCCCCAAGGAAAAATGGGCTGCAATCAAATTTCACATTTCAAGGAGTCCAGAAGAAACATACCCACACTCACCCCAAAGTGCCCTGGATTGCATGGGAACCATCTGCACCCTTCCAAAGGCCAGTGGGCACTGAAAGCTCAGGCAATCTAGAAATTATTTCAGAACAGAGGCAGGTGAGCACCCAAGCCCCAGAGTCTATTGAGAGCCCATCTGGAAGCATCACCTCGAGCTGGATAAATAGACCCACAAAGCATGAGGCAGCACCTGTGGAAGAAGAGCCTTTGGAAAGGATGGATCATTCCCAGAGAGTTTAAGGAATAAGATCACTAAACTTTCTTTGGTTCAGGGAAAGGTGAATATCAAGCTGGTCTTTGGTATTTTTGACCTTGGAAAACTTTGGGATGTACACACATTGAAAAGACATGATTTTGAGAAACCTTACATTTACTTTGCTCTTGGAAGTCCTTCAGCAGTCCCTGTACTGTGTTGATGAGTTTTACAGCTGCTGCTTTGGTGCCGGTGCCCTCCAGCACAATCACTGCTTTCCACTGGATCTTTTGGATGGGTGGCAAAAAATGCACCACTCACGTGGGCAAAACTCCATCTCCCTGCTGCCAGAAGGCTTTATAATTAACCAAATTATTATTTTTCAATTGCTTGATCAAGACTTCTCATGTGGAATTGGATTCTCTTTTCTTCGGCTGTTTGGACAGATGTTCTCTCTCCAGAGGAATAAGAGTTGCGCTGGAATGGGACTCAAAGCTGGTTTTCATCTGTATTTTCAAATAGACAAAAGCACTCAGGCTTCTGAAGGCAGATTCCTCCTGGAAAGGGAAAACCCACCAGGGGTTGTGTCCTCTGTGCTGGTGCCCAGTGCTGCTGTTGCTGGCAGGAGGCTCCTACCAGACAGCCAGGCTTTGGGCTGACCCCAAATGCTGCTGGCAGCAGACACTGTCAGGGTCTCACAAACACCTCAGACCCCACAAAGGCAAAGGCAGGCAGAGGGAGCACTGGGGGAGAGACAGCAAAGACAGAGGGGGGAAGGAAACATCAGCTGCTAAAGAGTCTGTCAACTTAATTTGGTGGCCTGGCAGAGCCTGCAGGTGCATGATGCTCAGGGAGAGCAGTCAGGGGCCGTGTTTAGCTTCAACTTTGATGTCGTGTCAAACTGAAGGCGTGCCTAGAGCCCTCCTCTGCCATCATTTTTCCCTGCAGCTGCTGTAGCCACGATGCTGACAGTGCAGGGCTGCTTCTGGTCCAGCCCTCGCTGCCTTGGCCAGGCTTTGTGTGGCCAGAGGGGCCACTTGTTGCTTTAAGTGCTAGAACAATCACTGCTTTCCTGGGCATTTTTGGTATTGGAAGTGAAGTAGGCATGGTCCAGGTGAGGGGATACAGAGACAGCACAAAGAGACAGGAGAGGTCTATGCTTAGAGATTCACTCTGCTGCCTTTTATAGCAAAAGCTTTTAGATAAATAAATAAATATAATGCTATATATATATATGTTACATGCTGTATAAATATATGTATATTTATACAGCAAAGCTTTTAGCTAAAGTGATAGAGGTAAAAAGGTATTTAAATGCCCACATTAAACTAAGCATCGTTTCAGGTGCTGTAAAGGCCATAAAATGGTCTGAAAAAAACACCAGGACAAAAGAAATCATAATAGCTGTCAGGATAAGACACAAACCAAGCAGAAATGGAGATTTTATGGGTTTTGCAAAGCAAGCTGCACTCCTGCAGCCTGTGCAGAGGTGAAGCACTGCTGCTGCACACCCCTGCCATGATCCAAACGCTCTGTGAAATGGAAGGGTGTCAGCACACTGAGCTTACTTAGTGTTGTCTGAGTCAATGGTATGAAAGAGCTTCTCAAGTTCTTCCTCGTTGAGTGTCCCATCAGAAAAGAAGGCCTGGAACTCCTCCAGGGACAGCTTCCCATCATCTGCAAACAGCAACACAGCACCATTAGGGAGCAGCAAAGTGAGGGGGGCAAGGCTGAAAATCAAGAGTTATTTACAGATTTAAAGCTTCACACCAAAATTATCTCCAAGTGCTTCTGCAAAACTGGCCCTGAACCAAAGCAGAGCTCACAGGGCTCAGGGTGGGACCCTGCAGCTCTGGCTGACCAGGAGCAGGTGAAGATGCTCCTGGGTATGGATGCACTGGCCATTGGCAATTGATTGGGCTCTTAACCAAAAGCATGGCTCAAACCCAAAGAGGAGAAACAGTGAGCTTCATCCTAGAACTGAATTGCATTAAAGAAATTATGGAGTGTTTTGTCTACCCTATGTTCAAATGATGCAGGATGCTCATTAAGGGACATTTACTAGACAGGAAAGGACCCTGGGCTGGAATTACAACAACCCAGCAGTATCTTTTGCCATCTCTGCATCCTCTCCAGCACAGTCCATCTCCCTGCTGTGGACAGAAATGTTAAATGGAAGCTATTTCACTGACATGGAAATCTGGCCATAGACTTTCTGTTATTTTATGCATTGGTCCCAGTGTTCATTTAATACTGGGGCTACTATGGACTCCTTAAATAACCAGGAAGAAAAATAAATTATCAGATTCATGTGCAAGGGGCTAAAAGAGGACCTTCACAAGTTTAAGTGATCAGGTGACAAAGGCTTACATTTAACTGATAAATCTGGAGCCTTGCTCTGTGCTCTGTGCACAGGAACAGAGCTGGCTGTGAGGAAGCTCCTGTGAAGCTCAGCAATAGAGCAACAGGAGGGAGACAAATGAAACTCTAAAGAAACTTTAATTTATCATTGCTTGTCCAAGCTGCTGACACCCCTCTCTGGTGTGCAGCAGTGCCTGGGGGGGAATAACTGCCCCAGATCACATATTATTTAAAATCTTTCCATTCATATCCACAGAAGAGTCACAGATTGGAAATGCTGCCTACTTTGTGGAAGGAGAATGTATCATTTATTATTTAATCAAATCAATAATAAACCCTGTTTCTTTTTCAGGAAATGATGCTAGAGGAAAAAATTAGCCAACTCTCCACATACACGTCAATATTTCCTCCCAAAGTAAGGCTGCTGCTCCTAAAACATACCTGCATTGCCAAATGCTAACCCAGTTTCCCTTGCCTGGCATAGACAAATTTAGAACAGTGATAAACTGAGTCTAAGATGCCCATTTAATTGACAATTATGAAAGGAACACAGCAGGAGGACAGTCTACAGCAGCTCTGGGTGAAGAGGGCACCATTTCCAGAGCACCACAATGGGTACAGACAGGGTCCAGCTGCTTTTATTGTTTTCCCCATTCCTTCCCCAAAACGTGACCTTTTGCAGCAGGCAGGGTGCAGAATAGCAATGCACAGCTCAGGGAATGGTCCCAAATCTGCTTTTTTTAGTCTACAGAACACTAAAGCACCTGTATTTCATCAAGAACCTATTGCTGGAAGCATCCCCCCAGTGTCACCTGGAGTTCTCCCTGTGGTGCCAGTCTGTCCCTGGAGGAGATGAAAAGGCTGTGTCCACCAGGAGCCCCATCCACACCACTCATCTCCACCTCTCCACCTTGCACCACTGCATGAGAAGCTTTTCCCCCTCAGTGCTGCTATTCATGCAGCATCCTGGCTAAGATCAAGGTTTGGTTTCTTCTGATCCTGACTGGCAATGAATGCACATCTTCAAGCACCAAGATCAAAAGGATGACAGCTTTTCTATCCCACAAGGGCTAAACAATTCTTTATATATAGAACACTTCATTGTAAACCGTAAATCAGTGCTGGTTCACCTTCAAACTGTCCTTCCACACACAGGGCAGCAGAAATAAATTCCCAGGAAAGTCACATAAACCAAATTCCTGGGAAGGAGAAGCTGTGAAGTGGATTTTTTTTCAAGAGAACACTTTGATTGGAATTTACAGTTTGCTTAACTCTGAAAAACACAAAGGTGTTGCTAAGTTTAAGGCAAAAAATCCACACCTTTTATCTAGTTTATATCTTATAACTTCTGTCTTGCATTTTACTCTTGCTTGATTTATTTTGCTCTGGGTCTTTTGATACTTTTATTTTTTTTTTAAGTAATGTGCTCCAGGATGTATTTTTGCTGCAGCCTCTGAAATACCTGTGTTTAAAATCTGTGCCAAAACACTGCTCTGACTCCTGTCTCAGAGGGTCCAGAGAGAACAGGTAGACAGATGCCAAATACTGTGACAGGCCAGATCATTGGAAACCAACTTGCACTGAATTTTTGTTGGCATTTAACAGCCTGAAGTAATGAAAAAACAGAATTATGTAAGGATCTAGAAGAAGAAGGAGGTGACAGTGAGTTTTATTTAATTTTTATTGTCTGGAGACCCCACAGAACTGCTTGAATAAAAGCATTCTGACCCCACAGAATTTGAATAAAAGTACCAATTTTATTTGCATGCAGGGCTTAGGACTTTCACCTCCCTCTCCAGCCACCAGCACCAAATACCACTCAGCTTAAAGCTGATGGTTATTTAAAATAAACTGGAATACTTGTCTGCAAACGTGCAAAGCAAAAGCCTTTCTGAGTAATGAGATAATCCTTTTGCTGCATATCTATAATTGTGGAACAGCCTGAGAGTCTGGGTTTCTGGAACCCAGCAGGCAAAGATGCCTTCAGGGAACTCCAGGGTGATAAGAGGAAGCAGAAGAGAGGGGCTGGGATCTGCCAGTCCAGATTAAACTGTTAAAAAACCCTGGGTGAGGAGGATTGACCACAATGGTGGTGACACCAGGTCCCCTGGCTGGCAGCTGCTGTGATAAGAGCTGATGGGACACTGTGGTCCAGGAGGAGCCTTATCAGGACAGTCCCAGCTTCTCCTGACAGCGGAAGTGTCTACACTCAGCAGAGAATGGATAAGACTTCCAGAAAGCAGCTTTTTGCAGAAAGCTGCTGGGTTCAAGAGGTACAAATTCTCCACAGGGACAGGCAGAGCCTCAGTTGGTTCAGCCTCACACACTCCCTGCCTTGTAGGGCTGCTGTGGGATCTTTCAGCCCTTGGGAGCTACTTTTCACAGGAAGTATAAGGGAAAAATTGAGATTCCTTACCATATCCAACTAAACCAAATAAAGTTTCCATCATTTTTAAGATCTAGAGATCTCAAAGAGATCTAGATCATAAAGATCTTAAAATCTAGAGCTCTAGATCTACACAAATATTTGTGACTCTTTTATCTGGGCAACCATACTAAATGCAGGCAACCTATTTCCAGTGACTCCCTCCCTCCCCTTTAAGCCCAGCACTTGAAGGTAACACCCAGCTGCCAGCAAGGCCAAGTGCCACTAACTAGGAATTGCCTCCCTTGCACTGATCAGCTGGGAAAAGAGACAATCAGGCCACAGCTATCCTGCCATCATTTCTTCCTGAGAGTGCAATCTTCATTTTCCCCTAGCTTTTCAAAATAACTCAATCACAGGCAAAGACCAAAGCAAATTACCAGCCCAACAGAGTTATCAAAGTTGGAACTAACTGAAGAGGGAAGGACATAAGAGAGAGCATCAGAAAGCCCCAACTGGGATGTTATTATATCTCCATTTGCCATCATCAAAATGTGAGGAGTCCGGAAGAGGCTTTTACACCTTCTAACTCACACAATCAAGCTGTTCTCACTCGCTAACACAGCCCAGGGAAAAATCAAACTGAGATCATAAATCGTCCAAAGTATAGGAAATCTGGTGGCTGAGTTTCTGGAAATTCACTCTGTGATACAAATGGCTTAAAGCAGCTACAAAATAAGGTCACTGTTCTGAGCCTGAGTTTGCTAAATCTGTTTTCAATTACATGAGGTTGAGACTGCTCATACATTTTCCAGATATATTATGAATATATTTTCCAGCTATTATTATGACTGTGCTTCATTACTTACTTTTATTGCTCTGTGAGCTCCAAAATGCTCTAAGCTCTGCTTACTTGCAAGTGCCCAACAGCTATGGATAAGTAAATTGGATTTTATTGGGGCCTGTGAATAAAAATGAGAACTATTTTTTCTTACATCTTGGGGGTATGCATGTGCAGATACATGAGCCAGCAAGAACAGGGATTGGCTTCCACCCTGAACCTTCCATCCAGCCCCTCAGAAGCCAGGAGGAGGGACTTCATTCATTTAAACAAAGGGGAATATGGGCTTGAGCTTTCCATCCTGCATCCTGGGCTGTTGGGGGAAGTGACATGCAGCCCCACAGATGTGACCTGTGATGAACATTTCTGCTGGGCAAAGAAGGGCTGTGTGCTCTGCATCACCCAGCCCGCTCCAAAAATCACCCGCAGCTCCTCGCCAGCTACTCAGGCAAAAAAAAATAAATTATCCACCCACTTCAATTGCAGCTCCCAGTGCCCTTCTGGGGGCAGTTGCATTTATCTGGGAGCAGGGGTGGTGATTCTCCCCCAGACCTGGCTGGAGCTGCAGAGCCACGGGAGCTCTCAGGAGCGGCACAGCCCACGTTTGGGTGGCTCTGCACAAGAACAGGGCCATTGGCACTGGAACCCAGCCCCTGCAAGTGCCTTTGCTAATGAGATGTAGCACACATCATTACAAGGAAATTACTACAATTACAGTAATTTTCTAGTGAAAGAAATTTACGGAGTGGCTCCATAATTTTGAAACTTAACTAATGCCCAGCACAGCTGTTTTCACAAGGGTCAGTGCCACACCAAGCAGATAACCTGAGAGAGATATTGATGTTTCCAATACAGTGAATAATCTCTGTTTGAAACACTCCTGTGCATTTCTAATGCCAGCTGGGAATGCTGGTGGGTCCTACTGGGTGATGCTGGCACAGAAGAAGACAATTTCACACACAAAGCCAGGGACTGAACTTCAGGATCTGAGGTTTTGCTCACTCAACTCATTGAAAAACCCTTGATAAATGTTTCTCTGTGTGCTGGGTATGATCCCCTCCTTTGCCTTCTTGCCATGAGCACAGTTTTGCGGTGTGTCTCCCACGCGGT